TTGTCCTCCATATGTGCCATGGAATCCTTGCGTGCATGCACATGCACATTGATATTTGTGTATGGACATGCTCACTCAAACACAAAATAAATTGTATTTTTCTTCAAATTTTATGAAATTTTGTTTGAGATCACATGGAATGGAAGGAAACATTTGGAGGCATTGACATCTCTATGTTCATATCTTTTGGATTTTTAGCAAAATGCCTGAATATTTTATAACTATTGCATTTTTTTATTGTGTATGTATGGCCGATAAGGAGTAATTTTGCATGTTTATCTCTAAATTTGTCACCTTATTCTATTACCCATCCTGAGTTGTGTTTTCTGGTTGGATAACCTATATTGTAATGTTTTGTCTTTCCCATTATCAGTATGTATACCCTATTTGATAAGTGTTGGAGAACAATACTGCAGAACTGAACTGGGAAATGGCAGTCTGGGACTGCTCTAAAGAGCATGGATTCAAGTCCAATGACATTTCATCCTCTGAATTTCATCCTAGTGCTCCATGAATCCACAATTCTCACAATTCCCTTTTGAGACAGTTTTGTTGTGTAACTCAGAGTAGCTACAAACTTACAATTCTCCTGCCTTAGCCTTCTGATTGCTTGAATTACAGATATGAGCGACTATACTGACTTTCTTGTTTTTATGCAATAAAAAAACTTTCACTATCTATGGCACTATGATATATCACTAAGCTCTGATGCTTCAGTAAGCTTCCCTTTTCATTGCTATGGAGTGGACACTGGAGCCCTGGACATACTAGACAAGTGTTCTACCACTGAGCGGTAGCCTGGCCTCACTGTTTCATTAAATATGATGGTCTGATAGTTTAGCATGGTACACAATTTTATTTTCTGCATCCACTTAGATTCTTTCTTAAAATTACTTTATTCTTTTAGATTCATTTATTTATTATATATACTGTGTTCTGTCTGCATGTATCCCTGAAGGCCAGAAGAGGGCACCAGATCTCATTACAGACAGTTGTGAGCCATCATCATGTGGTTCCAAGGAATTGAACTCAGGACCTCTGGGAGACCAGTTAGTGTTCTTAACCACTGAGCCATCTCTCCCGCCCCTTAAAATTCCTTGAAACTGTATCAAATACATCTCTAAGCCATTTCCCCCTCAATTCATAAAGCATTCATATGGATACAAAAATGCAATAATTGCTGGATTTTACTTTTTAAATTTTTTAAAAAAAACTAGTTTATGAGCCAGGCATGGTTGTGCATGCCTTTTTTTCTGTATTGTTTTGTTTTTTGTTTTTATTCTGAAACAGGGTTTCTCTGTAGCTTTGAAGGCTGTCCTGGAAATTTCTCTGTAGACCAGGCTGGCCTAAAATTCACAGGGATCCTCTTGCCTCTGCTTCTACTGGGATTAAAGATATGTTGCCACTGGGTGGTTGTGCATGACTTTAATACCAGCACTCCAGAAGCAGAGGCAGGTGGATTTGAGTTTGAGGCCAACTGGTCTCCAGTTACAAGACAGCCAGGGATGTTGAACAGAGAAATAACCAAAAATTATGTTTATGCGTATATGTATCTCTGTGTATGCATGTGTGTGTAGGAGTATCTTCCAATGCAAGAAGAGAGCATAGGATCCCCAGGAGTGTGAATTACAAAGTGGTTGTGAGCTGTCTGATTTGGATTCTGGGAACTGAAGAACTGAACTCTGGTCCTCTGCAAGAGCAGCAAATAGCTTAACTGCTGAAGCATTTCTCCATCTCCTTTCATTCTTAAAAAATGAAAAAAATATGTATCTCTAATGATACATACATGTGTGCTTTTATGTCCTCAAACACAAGCTCAAGTGTCCACAGACACCTCTTATCTCCCTGGTGCTGGAGTTCTAGGCAGTTGTAAGCCACCTGATGTAGGTATTGGGGACTAAACTTGGGTCCTCTGCAGGTACAGCAGGTACTCTTTAACTGGTTAGCCACCTCTTTGTCCCCTTTTGTTTTTTGAGGCTGGGTGTCATGTAGCTCAGGCTGTCCTTCCTGGAGCTTGCTTCTTGGCCAAGTGTGATTATTAATCTTCATTGCCAACCTCATTGGATTTAGAATCACCATGGATACACAGCTCTGGGTGTGTCAACAAATGTATTTGCAGAAAGGTTTAGCTGAGTGGGAAAGACTTACCTTGAATATGAACAGCAGCATTTCATGGGCTGTGTTACAGGACTAAATAAAATGGAGAGAGCAAGTTGAACACCAGCACCATCTGTCTGCTTCATGACAGTGATACAGTCAACCACAACCACATTCCTGCTGCCTTCACAGCCATCATGATCTCCCAAACCATAAGCCAAAACAGATCTCTCATTGCTTCTGTTACTTTTTGTCAAGTATCCAGTAGTGAGAAAAGTAACAAATCTAGAAAATGTTTACTGCTAAGTAGGGCTGTTGCTGTGGTAACATCTACATGGTCTTGGGCCTTAGGAAATTATTTTCATTGGAATGAGGAAGAGTCTGGAACTATGGGCTAGAAAAGCTAGAATGCTGCAAGCAGAGCTAAACTGTACTCTGGTGAGAATTTAAAAGTCCATAATGCTGAGAGAAATGCAGATGTAAAGGCCCACCTTGTTAGATTTCAGAAGGGTCCAAAACTCTAGAAGTCATTCTTTTTACATTTTGGTAAAGAATCTGACTGCATTTAAACTCCATCCTGAGAACTTCAGGCTGAATTAAAAAAGTAATGGTCTTAGCTGGGTGGTGGTGCACACCTTTAATCCCAGCACTTGGGATGCAGTGGCAGGTGAATCTCTGTGAGTTCGAAGCCAGCCTGATCTAGAGTGAGTTGTAGAACAACCAGGACTGTTATATAGAGAAATCTTATCTCAGAAAAGAGAGAGGCAATAGTCCAACATAGAAGTTGATAAAAGGATGTATATATGTACAAGTGATTCCCAGAAAACTCAAATGGCTACTAAATTTGGAGGGGGTGGTTCAGTCAACCCCCAAAATAAACAGAGAGATGCAAACTAAACACAGCACCATTAAAAAGGAACCTCCTATACTGCACTGGGACAATAGGAAAGGCCTATCAAAGTCCCCATCTTGTGAAAATAGGAATTCATTGAAAGAAGGGAACCTAACTCTTAAACAGAAAACAGGGGTTCCCTGCTCTATACCCACTACAGCCACTGAGGCCACTTTAGCTTTGGTTTAAGGAAGCCAGGGCACTTCTTAAGCTGACTAAATCCAGAACTGGTGGTTTTGCCCACCAGGCCCTGGTTTTACAGGCACACAAGATGCAAGGGTACAAAGGCATAGGGTGGTACCATAAAAGCTGAGGACATAAGAGATGAGGACAAGAAATGTGTGACAGAGTGGGAATCCTGAGGAGGCCCTGAGAGATCACTGTGTGAAGCCTAAATTGCTATGGAGACCACAGAAGAGTAAAGCTGCCAGAACCATGGGGGGTACTCCTGGCATTGAGTACACCTGGCCCTAGATAAGCTATGAGGCAGCAGAGCTTGAAGGTTGGGACTACCCAAGATTTCTGCAGCCTGGATGATTTCATCATGAACCTCAGATGCCTGACAAGGAGCTGCAGATTTAATGTTTGCTCTGGGTTTTGGTCTTGTTCTGGCCAGATCTTGTTTCTACCTACCCATCCCTCCCTGTGCAAATGGGAATGTTTATCTTGTGCCACAGAGCATATAATTTGTATTTTGACTTTATAGGGGTTTGTGGTTGACAGTGCCATAGGTCCCAGAAGAAACCATTAATAGACTATGGACACTTCCAGAGATAAGATGGATACATTTTGCACTGAAATGAAAATGGAACTTTATTTAGGGCACAATGTTATGATTTAAAGCGATGTGGTTTTAAGTGTATAGGTGACAAAAGTGTAGAACCAAATTGACTGAATAATTTACAATCACCATGGAAACACATGTCTTTGGGGTTGTAGATGAACATGTTTCCAGAAAGCTTTAATTAAGCAGGGAAGACCCACTCTGAACATGTGCTGGGTTTCTAGACTGAATAAAAGAAAGCAAAAGTGGACTGAGGTGGCTGGAAAGACAGCTCAACAGTTAAAAGTGCTTACTGCTCTTGCCCAAGGACCCAGACTCAATTCCCAGCACAACAGCTCAGAACTCAGCTCCAGGAGATGATACCCTACTCTGACATCTATGGGCACATGTGGTGTACATATATGCATTCTGGCACTAAAGCATACACATAAAAAATAACTGATTCAATAAATTTAAATGTGGACTTTCTACATGAAAATAGTCATTTTGTGTTGGTTGTGCAGAATGAGTCAGAGCCTCATTTATACTAGGCCTATAATCTATTATATCTCCTAGCCATTTTTTCACAGGGTTATTCCATATGTCAGTAGCAGAAATGTGTGGTAATTAGGAAAAAAAGGGGGGGGGGTTTCATGACATTTTCATACATAACTTTTTATTTGGCCATCTCCCTTCTTTGCATCTGTATCCTGCTTGTACCCTCAGCAGATTCCATCACACTTTCATGTTATATATATTCTAATGCCCTTAAAACACTTTTCGCCACATTGAGAGACCCCCCCCCCAACCTCCCTAGTGCTGGAGATTAGCAAGCAGCCTGGCTAGGCATATGATTATTCTGAACAAGCTAGGGTATATGCTGTCTTCCACTTTCCTTTTATGTTCTGTAATACTCAGTACAAAAATTTATTTATTGAAAATAGCAAGATGTATACTTAGCTTGTAAAAATTTTTTTTTGCAGAAGTCCTTTTTATAAAAAACATGTATTTTGCCTGAATGGGGTTGAGTTCAGTCCTCCAGCCTCAATGTTCTGAGTGTTAAGATTATACCAATACACTTGTTTTCAGTAACAAAACCAAACCAAACCCACCAAAGTATCTATTTCATCAAAAGCATCACCAAATGAAGTCTTTTTTTTTTTTAAAGAAATGAAGTTTATGAATCCAGTTATTTGTGCACTTATTAGTTCCATTCCTCTGTAAAAAGCTAGCACACAGAATATAGAAAGAGAGAGCCCCTTGTTCTTAGGCTAACTTTAAATCAGGTACATTTTGTTGAGAATCATTGCATTGATTTAAAGTGACTTTTAAGACAACATGGTACATTGTTTTCATACCTATATGGCCATTATAGGAAGCACAGTGATTTACAAAGTTGATATTCATTCAGATTCTTTGAAATTAATAACATGAGTTTCTGGTTTCAGTTCTGACATGAGATTACATAAGTCATTCAATATTTTCAGACTCATACCAGAATTTATAGTATGAAGTATCTACAAAACACATGGGCACATAGATATAAAATTAATGCTTGATTTAGAATCTTGTTTTATTTAAATGTGCTCTTCATGCTATAACACAACCCTTCAGAGTCTATCATAATGTCAATAGTTTCCTCAAAATTCATAAAGATTCACAGCCAGAGCTGTAACCCTCCGTAAGACTGCTTCAGTATCCAAAAGATAATAACAGAGTTAATTGTGGAATTAAATCATTTTTATGCAAATCCAAAGAAAATCAAATGAAGGATTATCAAGCTAAAAGCAAACAAACAAACAAAACCCAAAAAACCAAAACTTCCCCAACACTTCTCATGCCAGCAAGAGCTAGAAATCACTCCTCTAGCAGAGTATCCAATTATCTAATTAAGCAAAAACATGATTAATTGAAAAGTACAGCACAGGAGAGAGAGTGGCTGTTCGAGGAAAGTGTGGGTCTTTAGTTTTTAGAGGTCAACTGTCCTTCACCATGGAGCTACTCACAGATGTATCATGGGAAGACATCATTTTCATTTTAGAAAGGTTCATGATATGTATGCTATAGCAAAGGCTGGTTGTAGCGAAGTTTCACTTCAAACTTCCACTGATTGATAAATTAGCCATTATTTTGGAATGCTTAACTTCTGCTAAAATGTAGATTTAATCCAATATAGTATATAGTATACCACTTTTCACATTTACTTGTAGGCCCTATACCAGAAGTAGGTTAAATTTTCATCACCAAGATATGAGAATATCTTATAATTCTTACAGCTACTACTAACGCAATGAACTACGAAATTTCCTAGTATTTCTTTGAAAATATACCCCTAGCCTATTAAAAGAAATTCCAACTCCATCCCAAGGCATTGTTTAAGTTGGATTCTTCAGTCATCATCTACAGTCGGCTTAATGGTTACTCCTCTTCTTATCTGACCCCAACCAATTAAACTGCAAAATAAAAAAATAGAAGAAATCATAAGCTTTATACCACTGCACTGGCATCACTACACAATCATCCGACAGCCTACTGGTATTACCTGCCTACCTTCTAAACTCAGATGTTCTCCCAAAGCTATTTCTTTTTATTTAAAAAAAAAATTTTCATTTTACATACCAACCAAAGTTCCCCTTCCGTCCGTCCCCTTCTCTCACCACCTCTTACCCTTATCTACTTTTCAGAGGGGTTAAGGCCTTCCTTGGGAAGTCACCAAAGTCTGGCATATCAAGTTGAGGCAGAAACAAGCCCCTCCCTCTGTACCAAAGCTGAGCAAGGTATCCCACCATAGGTAGCAGGTGCAAAAAAGCCGGTTCATCCAAAGTTGCTTCTTTATAGAAAACTCATACTGTTTTCTCAGACTCTAAAATCCAAATAGATGGATGCTGGGCAGCATGACAAGAAAATCAAACAAAGCCGGCTGTTATAAATATACCAGGTTGCGTGTGGTAGCACTTGGGAGACAGGAAAATAAGTTAGTTCATGGCTACATATTAAGTTGGAGGCTAGCCTGAGGAAATTCCATCTTAAACAAAAATTGCCAGTTGTGGTTGCTCATGCCAGCACCTGGGTAGCAGAGGGAAAGCAGATCTATCTTTGTTCAAGAACAGTCTGGTCTACAAAGCCAGACCCTTTCTCAAACAAAAACAAAAACAAAGAGATGGCTCAGTGGTGAAGAGCACTCACTATTCTTGCAGAGGACCTGGCTTCAGTTCCTAGCACCCATATGGTAGCTCACAATCACACAGATCTGACAATTTACTCCAACTTCCTTGTGCACTGGGCACACATGGTACACAAACATACATTCAGGTAAACATAAAATGAAATAAAAATTAAAACACCAAAAACAACGCCCCACAAAGAATATTTTTGTTACCTCCCCTAGGCAAAATAAGAAAAGAACCACCTACCTGTTCAGATCTACCTAAGGACCCTTCAGGCTACCCAAATTATACATTGTGTGTGTGTGTGTGCCTGTGTGAGTGTGCACACTCGAGTGCACATGCATGAGTTTTGCTTTTTTTGAAAGGAGTTCTACTATGTAGTTCTGGATGTACAAAGTTGCTTTGTAAACCAGGCTGGCCTTGAACTCACAGAAGTCCACCTGCCTCTGCTTCCTGCATGCTGGGATTAAAGGCCTGTGCCACCACAACCAGCTCAGATTTAAAAATAAATCAAATCCTATTTCTCTATACTTGTCTTTGGGAAATGTTTTCTTCATACCAACTGTCTCAGCAGATCTGGGAAAATAAAGAGAACCATGGGAACACTGTCCATTAGCAGACTGCTCTCCACAGCAGGACTTTTGCTGGCCACAAGATCCACGCCTTTAATCTAGGAACCCAAGAGGCAGAGGTAGAAGTACCCTTTGAGTATCAGGCTAGCTTGGTCTATATAGTGAGTTCCAGAGCAGCCAGGGCTACATAAGGGGTGGTGATAGTGGTGGTAGTGGTAGACAAACCATAAGAAAAGGTTTAATAGACCAAAATTGGCTTCTAGAAAGACTCCAAATATACAGAGGCAGTAAGAAGATATTAGAAACTCTTTAGCACAGCACTGTGACTGTTTAGAAGATTCATTCTGCCCAAGCCCTTAAGTAACAACAGATGAAGCAAAGTAGAACTCTGTTGCTTTAAGTTTTTAAATTAAACTGACAGTGGTATATACCACTAGGCAGAAAGGAATGGAAAGGACTCAATAACTAATTTGGGAAAGAACACAGAATGAGAAATCAAAGATAAATGTGTGTTTCCCAGTGTACAGACCTGCACTTCTAAGAGTTTCCTGTCCACTGACCAACTCTTGGACAATTTGTTCTGTTTTGTTTTGGTTTTGGAGACAGGGTTTCTTCTGTGGCGTTGGAGCTCGTCCTGGAACTTGCTCAGTAGACCAGGCCAGCCTCAAACTCACAGAGATCCTCCTGCTTCTACCTCCCAAGTGCTGGGATTAAAGGCATGCACCACCAGTGCTTGGCACCAATTTGTACATCAAAATACAAGACAGCAACAGAATGAAACAAAACTTCATGAGTCTATTATAAAAAAAGGGTAATCAAATAATGAGGAGAAAATGCCAAACAAATGTGGACTGGTGGAATTGGAAAGGGTAGGGTGCTAGGTGGAATCACTATGTTTCAATCAACACAGTGAAGTTCAATTCAGGCAAGAATCATCAGTGAATGATAAATACAGGAGGGGTGGAATTTGATGAACTGCAGACTATTTGCATACACGTGGCCTCCCCACACATTTGTCTTCTCTCTTTTTTTGGCTATGGGTGTTATGTAGGTACTAGCATGCACATATTAACTTTGAGCTACAGAGCTGAAGATGATTTTGGACTCTTATCATGTGTATCCACCTCCCAAATGCAGAGATTGGTCTTGCCACCACATATTTCTTATTAGTTAGCTGCAAGGGTAACTAAGAGTAACCAAACAGCAGGAAAGTTGGATTCCCTCACCAAAGCAACAGTCAACTTCCAGAGGGAGCAGCCATGATTTCCTGAGAAGATATGAGTACCCCTAAGAATTCCATGGGAGCTGGGTAGTAAAGACATGACTACCCATATAAGAATTCCAGGGGAGCTGGGTGATGTCAGTGCACATCTTTAATCCCAGCACTCAGGAGGCAGTCAAATCTGTTAGTTCAAAGCCAATCTGATCTACAGAGTGAGTTCCAGGACAACCAAGGCAACACAGAAAAACCATGTCTTGAAAAAACAAAAAAGAGGCTGGGCGGTGGAAGTACATGCCTGTAATTCCAGCACTCGGGAGGCAGAGGCAGGGGATCTCTGTGAGTTTGAGGCCTGCCTGGTCTACAAAGCAAGTTCCAGGACAGACAAAGCTACAGAGAAACCCTGTCTTGTAAAACCTAAAACGAATTCTAGAGTTCACATAGTGGAACAAGAAGTTGTTCTCTGACCTCCATAAGTGTACCATGGTATGTGTGGACCTCTACATACACACACATTAAAAAAACAAAACACAAAACAAAACAAAGAATGTTTAAAAAGGGTGCTTGCTGCCAAGCTGAATGATCTGAGTTCAATCCCTGGAACCCACAAGTTCTCTCTCTCTCTCTCTCTCTCTCCCTTCCCCCCCCCCCTCTCTCTCTCTCTCACACACACACACACACTAAATAAATGGAGAGAAACAAAGTTAGATGATGGAAATACTGAAATATAATTCCCTGTTTTTTGTATAAGTTATATCTAAAACAAAAGGGAACCCAATTGAAATATTTGTAATATACAAGAATACAAACCAAGGCTCTAAATACAGATTTCAAAACCATCCAAACAAAAAGGTGAGAGCTAGTCATACTAACTGCTATGTTCAAGGAGAACTGTGTCCATATATATATCCCACCAAGAACTTAAGCTCTGTTAAAGACAGTGGCAAAAGGAAACAAACTTACCGCCAGTGTTTCTCAACTCTTCGGCTAAGGGCAATTTTTTCTCCTACTTCTGTACACACAGGATTAGTCAAAACAATCTTGCCCAAATCAGCCTTGACAGCACTAACTCTTCCTCCTGTTGACAGGGATCCTATGTTGACCATAAGCACTTCATTCTTAGACAGTTTTTGGACCTAGGAAAATAAAATAGAGAAAGGGAAGAACAGATAAGGAAATGTTCTCTGAAGAGTGTGGTGGCACAGAATTTTAATCCCAGCAGATTGATCTCTGTGAGTTTGAGGCCAGCTTGGTTTACATAGTGAGTTCTAGGATAGCAGAGGCTAAGAGACTCTGCCTCAAAAACAAAAACAAAAACAAAAAAAAAAAAAAAAACAAAAAAAAAAAACAAAAAACAAAACAAAAAGAGCCCCCAAACCCAAACAAAATAGGAGTCAGGCACTGGTGGCACATGCTTTTAATCCCAGTATTTGGACACTCGGATCTCTGTGAGTTCAAGGCCAGCTTGGTCTACAGACAACCAGAACTAAACAGAGACCCTCTCGAATAACAAAACAAAACAAAACACCCTACACAAATAAACAAACATGAGTTATACAAAGTACTTACCTTTGCTGCTTTCTTGTCTCCTTCAGTGCGGACGCCCAGAAGACGTCTAAGCAGGAAATAGGAAATTTCCAGTTCTGTGAATATTTCAGGTAATGCTCCAACCGCACCAAGCACTTGTCCCACCATTCTGTCAGCTCTGCACAAAGTGGGGTCGATCTTTGTTCCAACTCCTAATATAAAGATGTATTTGGCCTTATTTCTTATCTAAAACACCTTTGGAGTGATTTGCTTTAAAGTCTAGTTAAACAAACACAAATCAACACCCACTTACACATATTTCCATATTCATACACATATATTGAGTCTAACAAAATACATGCTTAATTTCTATTTCACTCACTCACTCATTCCCTCACTCATTCACTCAATGGTTTCTCTGTGTACCAGCTCTCGCTGTCCTGGAACTTGCTCTGTAGACCAGGCTGGCCTCGAACTCAGAGACCCCCCTAGCTTCTGCCTCCTGAGTGATGGGATTAAAGGCATGCACCGTCACCACCCAGCTATTTATTTTTATGTGTATATGTACATTATCTATGTGTGATCCATGTATGTAAATGTACAAAGAGAGGGCACTGGCTTTACTGGAGCAGGAATTATAGGTGGTTGTAAACAGCTCCTGAATTCAGGAACTCTGCAAGAGCAATAGGCACTCCTAACCATTTAGCCACATCTCTAGTCTTTATAGTAAACTTTTAATTATATATCAAAAAGGAAAAATGAATTGTGTACATTTTCTCCTTTAGTCCAAGGGCAAATTTTGAAGTCTCATTCAATCTTGCCCTTTTCTCAGTAATCAAAAAGTTTTAAGAGATTAGAAAACTTGGGAGGCAAAAGCAGGTGGATCCCTGTAAGTTTGAGGCGAGCCTGGTCTACAAGAGCTAGTTCCAGGACAACCGGGGCTATATAGAGAAACTCAGTCTCAAAAACCAACCAACCAAGAAAACCCATAAATCAATTCAGCAGCTTCCACATGGTAGAAGTTCTCTATTTAATCTACCTCCTACCTTGATCTTTTTCTTTTTTTTTTTTTTTTTTTTTTTTTTTTGGGAGACATGGTCTTACTTGAGGAAGTTCTTGTATCTTTCTTGAGTCTGGTTATGCTGTCCACACTGGTCAACTCTCTGTTAAAGACAATCTGCCTTCTTCAGACTCCAAAGTATGTGGGAATACAGGTACTCACTACCATATTTACATGAAAGTTTTCTTTGATTCCCACCTCAGAATGAGTATAATTTGACATTTGAGTAACTTTACATTTCAAAATACTCATGAAAAGAAACCACTGTATCCCCCCCAATTTTTTTTTTTTAATAAACAGTAGCCTCAGATACTTGATGACTGTTTGAATAAGGGAATTAAGGACCAGCATGGGAAACATAGCAAGACTGTAAAACAAACAAACAAACAAATCCAAATCCCCAAACTATATCTAACTAACTGCATGTTCTGGATGGTAGGTCGATAAACTTATTTTATGACAGGCACGGTGGCACAGAACTGAAGTTTCAGCTATTGGAGATAGTGGGGCAAGAAGACCTCAAGTTCTAGCTCAGCATGAAGTACAGAGCAAGGGAGTTCAAGGCCAGCCTGAGTAACCTTGAGAGATCCCTTCTCAAAAGGGAAAAGAGTGGAGCTGGAGAGATGGCTCACCAATTAAGAACACTGACTGTTATTCCAGAGGACCCAGCTTCATTTTCCAGTACCCACAGGACAGCTCACAATAGTCTGTAACTTCATTCCCAGGGTACCTGAAGCCTTTTACTGGCCTTTGTGAGTACCAGGCATGCATGTGGTGCGCGTACACACACGCACACGCATAAATAGTAATAATTAAAAAAAAAAAGGAGGGCTAAGGATACACCTCAGTGGTAGAGTACCTGCCTAGCAAGCATGTTTTAGACTGTAGGTCCAAACCCTGGTACTTCAAAACAAAATAGCCAGAAGTACTTATTGCTAATAAGTAGCTATCCACTAAAATGTACTTTAAAAATACTATTATTAAGTTTTTGCTTGTTTGAGTGGGTGAGCAAGCACCTTCACTTGAAACATACCGCCTCTCCAAAATGTATTGGGTTTATTGCAAGACCCAACAGAATGGGGTGGGGCAGACCTTTAATGTCAGTACTCAAGAGGCAGGTGGTTCTTAGGCCAGCCAGGGATACGTAGGGACCTTTCCCAAACAAGCAAGCAAGCAAACAAACAAACAAAAACCAAACAAATCCCAAATAAAAAAGCAAAGCGAGGTGGGAGAGATGACTCAGCAGTTAAGAGCACTTGCTGCTCTTGCAAAGAACCTGGGTTTGGTTCCCACAACACACGAGGCAGTTCACAACCTCTGAAACTCCAGTTCCAGGGGAGGTCTAATACTCTCTTTGGCATTCTGGGGCACCAACACACACAGGGTGCACACACAGCAAACAAACCCATACACATAAAAATAAATAAATCTGCAAAAAAAACAAAACCCTACAATCTACCTTTACATGATATATTATTTATATTTCCTATGAAACACACCAGCAATCTCCACAAATTAAAAGAGAGTGATAACAGGGAAATCCTTACCAATGAGACCACCTGGGGCAGCATACTGAAGATCATTATGTTCCGCAAAAAGTGATACAATTTTGGAAAAGATTGGTTTACACATGAGTTTTCCTTCACTATCTTTGGAAACAATACCAGGTCTCACTTCTATCTCCTGGCCTACCTGTAAACACATAATTAGTAGTGAGAATTACTACAGAACAATACATTTACTATTTACCTACCAATGTTCTAACAAAAATACCACAAAACTAAAAGGCTATGTTTCTTCTAGTTTCAAGATTACTACTTTTATTTAGTGCTTATATTATTGTTTTTATTGTCCTGCAACTCACTAGGTAGAACAGGCTGGCCTTGAACTCACAGATACCAGCCTGCTTCTGCCTCCCAGCTGTGTACCATCATGCCAGGTTAAAATTACTACTTGGGTTTGTTTGATACATGGTCTCTATGTAGTCTGGCTGTCCTGGAACTCCTCTGTATACCAGGCTCACTCTGTAGATCCACCTGCCTCTGCCTTCTGAGTGCTTGAATTTAAAGGTGTGCATCACCACACTCAGCTTTTTTATTTTTAATGGAAAAAAACTGAAACAGAGATAGATGGCTCAACAGTTAAAGAGCACTTGTCTTCAGTTCTCAGCAACACATGGCAGCTCACAACCATTTCTAACTCCCATTTCAGGGGTTTCAGGGGACCTAACATCATCTTCTGGCCTACATGGACACATACATATATGGAGACAAAACAGCCATACATATAAAATAAATAATCTTAAAAAATAGTTGAAAAATCAGATCTACTCAATTGTTGCGATTTACCAAGTAAACCTGTTGTCACTTAAAACAGGTCACTAGAGAACTATAAATTTAGAAGTCAGACATCTGCCAATGACAAAAGCCAATCCATACTCAAGCTGGGTGGTCGTTGTGCATGCTTTTAATCCCAGCACTTGGGAGGCAGAGACAGGCAGATTTCTGTGAGATCTATAGATCAAGTTCCAGGACAGGCTCCAAAGCAACAGAGAAACTGTCTCAACAAAACAAAACAATCCATATTCAAGACCAGACAACATGAAAAAAACGTTTTTCACTGCATGTGGTGGTACAGAGCTTTAGTCTCAGCACTTGGGAGGCAGAAGGAAGGGAATCTCTAAGTTCGAGGCCAGGCTATTTCAGACAATGGCAGGCTGATGAGCTAACCCAGAGTGTAAGGTGCTTACCACCATGCCTGATGACCTGAGTTCAATCCTGAGGACCCACTAAATGGAAAGTTACCCCCTGAAAAGTTGTCTTAGTTCCATCTGTGCACTGTAGTACTCACATGTCAACACACACACCACACAAATACATAGTGTAACAATTCAAACCTAGTTTACCTTTAACACTCCTTTTAGAATACTACCACCAGCTACACCTCCCTTAAGGTCATCAACTTCACAGCCAGGTTTGTTGACATCAAATGACCTAATAACTAAAAGAAAATGTAACACAAATTAAAGCCATTTCTATTTATTTTAGATTTAGAAGACACATTCTTTTTCAAGTCAGCTTTTCTAAAAACAATCTAATATTATAGCTTTAATGTTTACGGAAGACTTGTGTTAAAAAAAAAAAAACTGGAAATACCTTGAAAGCACATTAATAGATAGCTCATTAAAGTCTATCAATACTATAAAAGGGTTCTACCATGGAATACCAGGCAGCTATTTGAAATTAATGTTAAAAGCATATGACCAAGAATGGGTTTCATGTTGTGAAAGAAAAATGTTGTTTGTCCTTCACATCTAAAGGTCACCCAAGAGAACGTTCCCCAATAATCTTACAAATAGCTCCAAATGAAGGCCTGCAATGGCCCAAAAACCTGGTTTGAAAAGGGTTCCACATCTTTGAGCAGCAACCACAACTGAGTGAAATTAAACTTACTGCTTTTTTAGTAATGGCATAATGACATTATTTGTATGGAAACTCTAACATCCCAACATATTGTACTTCCCTAGAATACTGTATTACTCCATGTTGGTTGCATAAAATACCATGTACAAAGCACAAAAAGGCTCTGTCATCCAGCAGTATAATCAAGACATTATTTCAAATAGTTTTATGGCTTTATCACCACCTCTGTGGAAAGAAAATATTACTAAACTACTCTGAAGGAGAAACAGTAATGTGGAAAAGTTCAGTTAAGCGTGATTCCTATTACTTACCAATGAGACGGGGTTCAGAAGTAAAGTCTCTTGGGGGCACTGGTATTTTCTTCACTATGTACTCACAGACGACTTCAATATTATATTTCAGCTGAGCAGAAATTGGAATAATTGGTGCTCCTTCTGCTACTGTTCCTACATTAACAAATTTCAGAAAGATCAAAATCCTTGGGTCTTACAAAACTTGTTCTATACAGCTGCTAGACAAAGTAATTAGAGCTAACAGAGGCCTAAACATTTCCACACAAATGCCAGTCAGCACATAGAAAGTGGTCTGTCTGTCTAGAAAGATGACAATATTCTACCTTCAACTCCAGAAAATGAATTCTTTGTCCTTGAAGGGGACAACTGCTAAAACTCTGTCAACAGGTATATTTAACAAAGACAAATGTTATATATAAAAAGGAATAAAATATGAACACTGCTGGGAAGGAGCTCTTTACAAGCTAAAAGACTTCTAACAACATGTAATTAACCTTTCCATAAATGCCAAGAGGAAATTATAGACTCTTTGCTAATCAAAGACTGGCTGGCATTATATCACTTTTTAAAAAAAATTAATCACATGCTAAGCAAACTGGTCAAATAGACCAAAAACAATTAACGAGTTATTCTTTTTTATGCTAGAATTAGGTTCCCAACAAGAAAAGGTTAAAAAATAATTAGATATCAACAGTAATATGCATCATGTCTTCTCTGAAAGTGAACATGCCATGGTACTTGAGAAAGAACTCTGCAAAGACTGCTTTGTCTTTTGAGGTAGGGTCTCTATGCAGTCCCTTCTGGCCTGGAACTAGCTATACGCACCAACAAACTGGCCTTGAACTCAAGAGGTTTGCCTCCCTGTGCCTCCAAGGTGTTGGAATTAAAGGCATGTGCCATGAGCCCCAGTAGAAAATTTGTTTTTAAAATGTTTTTATTCATTTTAGTATCACTAAGAATGGCAGGCAAGATGTAAACTCAGTGGCCTGTGTATGCCAGGCAAGCACTTTACCACTGAACTATACTCTAAGGCCTTGGCATTTAAAAACTTAAACCGATAGCATTTCCAAACTTTAGAAACTTCAGTTTTAATTTTGTATATTAAATTCAGAAATACAGGGTTGAAGAGATGACTCAGTTGGTTAAGAGCACTAGCTGTTCTTCCAGATGACCTGGGTTCAATTCCCAGCAACAACATGGCAGCTCACAACTGTCTGTATCTCCAGTTCCAGGGGATCTGACACCTTTACACCAATGTACACAAAATAAAGTTTTATTTACTTAAAAAAAAAAAAAAAAAAGAACATTTGTGAGTGTCATAATAAAGCGGGTAGAGGGACCTTGACAGAGTCCATGGAAGGTGAGGGACAAACATGCCAGGCAGACAGAGCTTAAGTGAGAAAGTTTAATATAAAGGGGGGGGGGGGGAGGTAAAGCAACACAGAGACAGAATGGAAGAGGGAGAGAGGAAAATGCCCCTTCAGAGATACAGTGGGAAAGAGCAGAAATGGGCAGGGTCTTTCTTTGAACCCATGCAGACTACACAACCATGGAACCCTGGGCTGACCAGAGTACTGCCTGAGTGCAGTCTGCCAGGTGACAGAAGGCCAGCATAATGCCTGAATCCTTATGATACCTAAATTTACTTTGTTTTAGATACACTATATGACCTTTCAAAGTGATCCTCTGGTTTATTAGTTATAGCTTCTTACCTTGTACAAATGCAAGAATCTGCTCATATTGTTCCTTAGCCTGACTTTCTTTTACCAGATCAATTTTATTCTGTAAGATCAAAATATGCTTGAGTTTCATGATTTCTATGGCAGCCAGATGTTCAGAAGTCTGAGGCTGAGGGCATGATTCATTACCAGCTAGTTGACAGAGAAGAAAGATTGATAATAAGTAGAAATACCCACACAATGCAATTTCAAAAATACAAAGTAGATTGTTGATTATGAGGGGATGGAGAGTCTAATTGGTCAGTGACTACTTAAATGGGCAGGGTGTTCACTTTTGTGGTGATGAAATTTCTGAATGTACTTCCTCTCTCTGAGTTGTATTCTTTAAAAAATAAAATGGTAAGCTTTACATTATGTACACATTCTACTAACAACTTTGTTTCACTGGATTGAACCCCATGATGACCATTGCTGCTTGACAAAGTTCCAGCCATCAACACTGCAGACCACACTTCTCTAGCACCTTATTTTCATTTTTAATGATTCTCAGTATCAATGCCTTTTTCCCTTTGGGAAATTTTGTGGGGGTTTGGTAAAGAATTAAAATAAAACAATTGTTTGGAAAGAAATCCCTGCCACATGGAACCAGAAATTCCATTGTGCCCTCTAATTACACCAAGAACAGGCAAGTTAGATTTACCAGACACATCTTCCCAAGGATGATGCCTACAATTCAGATCCAGAGCCTGTGGTCATTAAGGGCTAGAATTCAGTTAATAAGTATAGAGAAATCAGAATGGTATGTATGGTATAATGGGAAGAGACATCAGGATCTTCCCTTTTGGGAGCGTTATGGGGGGAACTGGCCCATATATTAAGACTAAGAATTGGCAGTGTAATTGTCTGCTCCCAGAAGTTCTTTCCCAAGATCAGGCATTTGGATAAGCCTCCATTCTCTTGGGGGCTTGAGGAAAGTTCCTGCTTGATAAAGCAGTCATTCTTATCTCTAGCAAGCAGAACTTGGTGGCTCTTTCATTAACATGACTGGTGCTTATTGTCATGGTCAAGGCTAGCTTTCTCAACTCTTGGTCTCAAGCCATATCCAAGCTCACATGTTCTTTGTCTCCAGTTTAACCCTATGAGCAATTATACAGTATAAAATGTATAGTTTCTCAATAAAAGGCTGCTGGCAGCCAACCTGATTCACTCTCAGGTTGTGCCCTACCCCCAAACCCATACATCCTCTAAAAATACCATATCCACATCTGTCTAATCTCTTACTAGCTCACATTAGGAAGCACAATGTTAACACCGAAAACTCTCTCCCATGGCAATTATTGTCTACATGGAGGGGCAACTCAAAACACGCATAAATGTCCTAACACACAAATTTTAAGTGGAAATAATATATGTGAAACTACATTCCTTTTTGGATACTGTAAGACTTCTTTGAAGCCATTGTGGGGCCCAGACCAGCTTGGGCACATTGCTGCCATGGCAGGCTTAATAAAAAACAGCTACAAAGCAGGCTTGAGTTTCAGTTTACTGGCAAGCAGCACCAGGTTCCAGAAAAAGCCATAAGCTGACACCACCTGGGGAGGGCCAGCATCTAAGGGGAAGATACCCTAGAGAAATGTCAGCCAAGCAGGGCCTTGAACCCTGAAAATCCCCTCACCCAGCCTCTACTGTGATAAAAAACTATACCCTGCTCAGGCCGGGCACTCTCTGCTCTCAACCTCAAGCTTGAAAAAAGACTCTTTGATTTAGCATGAGTGTGGACTCCTTGGTGGTTTTCGGGGATGCTGTGATCTGGGCATAACAGCTATAACTATAGGACTCTTGCTTGTCATATCTATTAGAAGGAAATGTCATTCTGGATGATACATGGCTATCATTTAAGTAATGTAATGGACATGGCCTCCAAAGGTTTTAGTTCTTCCTTACATATTCCACTCCAATTAGTTCTTTATTGGTTTGTTCAAATCAATTCTGATGATTTTACCTATCAACAGAAGAGCTGCATCCATCACTGCTGCACCGTTCAGCATCGTAGCCATCAAAATGTCATGTCCAGGACAGTCAACAAAGGAAACATGCCTAACAATTGAGAAATGACAATCAGCCTTAATTAAGACCAATCACAACTACAAGCAAACTGTAGATTTCTTAAAAGTTAAGTCACAGGGGAACTGGTTCCCGTTATTGACAAATGTACACTTTGGGTCTCCACAGGTACTGGCGTCCAGGTAAGCACACCCAAACGCATACATATAAACAAAAATAAATATTAAAAAGGAGAATGAGGATTTTAAAGAAATTGTCCAAATTACCACTTCCCGAATTGTGCATCTGAAGTGAGGACAGCACTGCTCTAAAGTGACAATACACAAAGTCAAGATTTTTGAAGAATTTACTTCTTAGATCTTATTTTAATCTCACAGAAGACAGAAGAGAGTATCAGCAACCCTCGAGCTGGAAATTAGAGGCACTTGTGACTGTTGGAAACTGAACTCCAGTCCTCTTTTAGAGGACCCCAGTTCAACTTCTGGCACCCACATAGTGGTTCGCAACTATCTGGAACTCCAGTTCCAAGGGAATCTAGCATTCTCACAGGCATACAAGCAGGAAAATACCACTGCACATACACATTAAATAATTTTTTTAAATGACTGTATTAAAGTATTTATCCTGATTATTGACATTTCTTGTGTTTTCCCCTCCACCAGTAAATTTTGGGCCTGAGAAGAGATCTAATTCTACTCTGATCTAAAATGGTCTTATAGACTTATAACAAAGATGTTAGTAACTAGATACCAGCACCCTCTGGTAAAGAACCAGCATCTGCAATCATATTCAGAAAATTTTTGAAAACACATGCATTTATTTTAAAGAAGTAATTTTGGCTTCATTTCTTTCATATCTAACAAACAGAAATGACACTGTTTAAATCCAGTGAATTGTGTTTTCTCTCCCTTCCCCTCATGCAATACTTACCTTAAAAAAAAATTGTTAATGAGTGTTTTATGTCTGGTACCATTAGAGGACACAAGAGGGTGTGGATCTTCTGGAACAGGAGTTACAGATGGCTGTCAGTCACCAAGTGGATGCTGGGAATCAAACCTGGGTCCTCTTTAAGAGCAGCCAGTGCATGTAACAACTGAGCCTTTCTAGCTCCCTTATGGGATTTTTCAGCTTACAGAACTTCTTTTTATAAGTATTTAAAATTAATCAAAAATATTTAAAATTTTAAAATCATCATTGTATAAAATAACATGAAATAATGGGAAAACAATGAAACCATTCAGCAATTAAGCTTATTGTTCTGTACCTTAAGTATTTTAAAAAGCACAAAACAGTGGTTTAAAAAGCATAAAGTATTTTTTAGCATAAAAGTTACCTGACTAATTTGAAGTTCCCTTTGGTCCCTGGAATGTCTGTAGGAAACTCATCTGGCGTACTGCTTCCACACGACCTGTAACATTCTGGTCTAGGACAACTTGGGTCATCAAGTTTATAAATCTGAAAGTTTCAATATCATAGGAAAAAGGAATAACTGGATTTGTTACCTATGCAACAATTAAAGTTAAACAGTTTCTAACTTCATTGTACATAGATCACCTTAGCATTAGCATATCCAAGCTTGATGGTAATGTTTCTTTCTAGTTCATTTTTGAATCTGACGGTGTGAACTCCAGAAATAGCCTTTACCACAGTAGACTTCCCATGAGCTACATGACCAATTGTACCTATTGAAAAATTACAACAAAATTAACTTCTACATGTAAGTACACCAAACAATTTTTTTTCAAATAGTGTTAAGTAAATAACAAAAAAACCTGACCAAGTGGTGGTGGCTTAGGCCTTTAACCCCAGCACTTGGAGGAGGCAGAGGGCAGAGGCAGGCTGATCTCTGTGAGTTTGAGGCCAGCCAGGCTAACAATGAGAAAGCCTATCTAGGGAAAACAAACAAAAATCTCCAAAACCTAAAAACTCTAACCATGAACATCAGAGTAAAACCAACAGTGATAGGGCTAGTGACATGGCTCAACAGGTAAAAGAACTTTTCACAAAAGTCTGAAGACCTGAGCTCCTAGAACATGTAGTGAATGGAGTTAACCAACTCCTGAAAGTTGTTCTTACTTCAACACCTGTGCATGGACAAACACACACAAAATAATAATAATCATAATAGAAATAAAATTGTTTAAAGTGATTTCAATTTCTCCCTCTATGTGCTGTATCCTATTACAAAGTTCTTCTGAGACCAACTTTGGTAGAATAAGTACTTGAGAGGAAGAAACAAGATGGATAGTTTAAGGTCAGCCTGGACAATGTAGGTAGACCCTGCTATAAAATTTGAAAAAGGAAAAATACTCAAAAATTCGACTATCAAGAGCAGGGGGCAGGTTGGATCTCTGAGTTATAGGCCATTTTGGTCTACATACAGAGAGTTCCAGAAAGAACAGCCAGGACTACAGAGAAACCCTGCCTCAAGGAACAAACCAAATCATCTTTTCTATCAAGAAACATCAAAGCATCATACCCAGTTAATATGACAAACTCTGACACAACAAAAAAAAGAGAGAATACTTATTTGCCTTGAGTTAAGAGTTAAGCTTGGGTGAATACCAGGCTAGCCAGGATTAGGGTTACATAGGAAGTCTGTCTCAAAACTTAAAAAAAAAAAAAAAAAAAAAAAAACACCAAAAAACAGACCACACCACATTTTATACTCAAGCAATATACCTCAACAGTTCTAGGTGCCAATTAGGGGGGAAAGAATTCTACTTAATTATAGCTTATATATCAAATAAAACTTCCATAAACTGCCCTTGTATGACAAGAATGCACTTTCACTTCAAACTTCTGCTACTGTGTGATTACATACTGTCTTGTACTAAATTAAACTTGTCATACATATATCTCAAAAAAAAGAAACACTGTTTACAAGGGCTCCACAACTTTCTTTTTGACACTGTACTGCTCAAGCCGATCTTCAAGTAAACACCCATATTATTCAATTATACAAAAGAAGAGGTTAAAATTACTTTTAAGTCAAGTGATGAGCTATCTTACCAATATTAATTGTAGCTTGTCTGCTGATAACTTCATGTGAAAGTGGTGTCAACTTGGTGACGTCCTGCAATGAAATATTTCAAGACATAATCAATATAAACCAGAAAAATTTCCGTGACTTTATAGTCCCCAGATACAACTCTGCCCTGTATAAGCAGCTATTTTCTCCTGCTAAAATTTGTCTTTTTTCCTTAACGTGCTAAAACTGTCACACAAGACAACTCCACTCACTAAGAGGCCTGGAAATGAGAGGTCATCTAATTTTGGAACCTTAGCAAGTCCTAACTGTCCAACACAGTAGTGTAGTCCAGTCTTCAATCCTTTACAAACTTAAACCTTAATGACTTTTAAGAATCTCGTGTCTCGTGCTATCTTCAAGTTCCATATGTAGCCAAGAATGACCCTAACTTTTGATCTACCTGTTTCCATCTCTTAAGTACTAGGAGTACAGGCATGCAATTATTCACTTCTGGGGATGGAATTCAGGATTTGTGCCTGCTAAGTATTTCGCTCTACACAGTGAACTGCAGCTCCATACTCCTTAATTGTATTTCTCCCGCAAACACTCCAGGAGTTCCAAGTCTCACAATCGTTCACCATTTTGGGGACTAGGCAAGGTACTGGCAACGGAGCTGGCACGCCTTAGACTCACAGGGTCTGGGACAGCTCCTTTACTCCACGCTCCAGCCACCACCGCACGGCCTCATCTCCACTCCCTCCGAGAGTCCTTTCCCACCCTCAGTTCACGGTGCATTTCCGCCGCAAATCGAAAACTCACCAACGTGGCGAGATCCTGTCGGGAAAGATGTGGCTGCCCGAGAGTCACTCCAACCTCACCCCCAGCCATCTTGCTCAGAGAGGAAGGAAACGCTGGGCAGCCTCCTGACATAAACGTAGGCAGGCCCCCTTGGGCGGAGCGAAGGAGGAGCGGCGGGAAGGCGGACTACGGCCCAGACTTGGTAAAAAGGATGACAAATGCGGCACCGATCTCACGCTTGGACTTCTCTGTGTCTTAATTTTTACAGGACCTACCCGAAACCTTACTGGAAAGCACGATACAAAGTTTCGGAATGTATCTCTTGTGGTCCTTTTAGATTTTTGTGCAGGCAATCTTGTGGACAGCCCAAAGATAGGCCCCTGGAGGGGAGGGTTATTAATGCGACACAGTGCGCAAGACAGGGGAACCATTTTCGTTTCCTTTTGGCACTCCCCGGAAGAGCTTCCTGCCGTCTGGGCATTTTACCTAGGATGTAAAGTTAGGAAGTGGAAATTCCTCTTTTATTTTATTCCCTTAATGTATTTATTCGCTTTAAGCATTTCTATTATCTAGTAGAGCGGTATCAGCCCGGCGTCCTCTTCTGCCTTGCTTGGGCTCTGGCTCCAGAGGACGACACCGCATGCTAAGCTCGCCAAGCTCAAACCTGCGGTCCCCAGTGAGCTCACACAGAGCGCCCTCGCGCGGAGATCTGGGGAAGGGCTCAGGGTCGTATTGTTGAGGAAAAGTCCCTCCCTTTTTCCCTGGGAGAAGTTTCTAGTGATGGTGAGGTGGTGCATGGTGACATTAGTTGGTCTGTTGGTCTGCATCCGTGTGAATTTAACGTCTGAAAGCTGGGTGTCAGAACGTCCGCAGCTCTTTTTTTTTTCTTTTAAGCTGAACCTAGTGCATCTGTTTTTAAATTTTTAAATATCTTAAAAGATTTTCTTATTTTTTATCGTCTGTTAAAAAGTGATATTTTCTGGCTGGTCGGTGTGGTGCAAGCCTTTAATCCCAGCATTTGGGAGACACAGACAGGCGGATCGCAGTGAGTTCGAGAACAACCTTGTCTACAGAGCGGGTTACAGGACAGCCAGGACTGTTAAACAGAAAAAACCCTGTCTTGAAAAACCAAAGGGGGGGGGGAGATTTTCTGTGGGTGCTGGCACCCACATAATCCTCACACTGAGGAGGCAGAATCAGGAACTCATAAGCAGGTAGGCCAACCTGTGCTATGTAGAGACCCTGTTTTTTAAAAAGGGGGATGGGGTGGGGCTAAGAACGCAGCTTTATACCAAAGCAAGTTTAAGGACAGGCAAAGCTGTCAAACCTATCTCGGAAAAACAAAAAACGAAGTTTACTCAGAAATTGTTTCCCTGGCATGTGTGATTCTCTAGGTTTAGTTTCCAACCATCAAAAAAGGAAAATTATCTTTTAAAATTCTCTTTTATTGTTTTTTGTTTTGAGAGAGGCAGACTCTTACATATCCCAGGCTGGTCTTTAACTTGCTTCGAGTCAGGATTAACTCAAATTTCTGCCCCTCCTGCCTTTACCTTCCCTTAGTGCTGGCATTACAGGGTTTGATCATTGCTTGGTTCATTGGGTGCTGGAACTGAACCCAGAACCTCATCCATGTTGGGTAAGAACTCTTTTGTTTGTTTGTTTTTGTTTTGTTTTTTTTCCAGACAGGGTTTCTCTGTATTGCTTTGGAGCCTATCCTGGCATTTGCTCTGTAGACCAGGCTGGCCTCAAACTCACAGAGATCTGCCTGCCTCTGCCTCCCGATTGCTGGGTATTTTGGAACTAAATGTTTGTGCCACCACCTCCCGGCCTGAGTAAGCACTCTTAGCAACTGAGCTGTACCCTCAGCCCCATCTTGTATTTCTGAACAAGTTTCTGTTTATAAACTCACCTCACTCTCCCTTATCAATTTTTTTAAGCCAATGGCTATTTGTAATCCCAAATAGCTTTATTATTATTATTATTATTATTATTATTATTATTATTTTGGTTTTTTGAGACAGGGCTTTTCTGTGGCTTTGGAGGCTGTCCTGGAACTCAGGAACTCACTCTTGTAGACAAGGTGTGCACCACCAATGCCTGACAGAGGTGTTTTATTGTTTGTTTTTTGAGACAGGGTCTCATTATATAGGCCTTGGCTGGCCTTGAATTCATAGAGATCTGCCTGTCTCTCAAGTGCTAAGGTTAAAGGCATGCGCCACCACAGCGCACACACACACACACACACACACCTTAACCTCATATCCTTACCTTTTTTTTTTTTCTTTTGAGACGGGGTTTCTATGTGTAGCTTGGAGGCTGTCCTGGAACTCGCTCAGTCTATTGCGGTCTACCAGGCTGGCCTCCAACTCACAGAGATCTGACTGCCTCTCCCTCTGAGTGCTAAGATTAAAGGCATGCACCACCACTGCCCAGCCTGCTTTAGCCTTTTATAATAAGTTTTTTTTAATGTTTTATGAATTAATATTATTCTCTGCTGTTTCCTTGTTGTTTATATTTTGAGATAGGATCTGTCTTGGTAGCCCTGGCTGGCCTGGAACTCTCTCTGTAGACCAGGCTGGACTTGAACTCAAAGATCTGTCTGCCACTGCCTCCTGAGTGCTGGTATTAAAGGCTTGTACCACCACTGCCTGGCTACCTTTTGATTTTTACCTTATATCAAATTTTTGTTTTATTTTGCATTCTAAATAGCTTTATCATTCAATTAAAAAAAAAACATTTTCAACTTTGGTTCAAAATGTTTGCTGTGCATGCTGGGGCCCATGTAGTCTCCACACTCAAAGCACCCAGGAGGACCAGGCAGAAACTCAGGAAAGCTGGGGTTATAACTCAGTTGGTAGAGTACTTGTGAGGCCCTGGGTTCAATACTCAATATTTAAGATAAAGAGCAGTGAGTTAGGCATAGAAGCCAGAATCTGTAACTTCAGCATTGGTAAGCTAAAACAGGAGTTCAAGGCCAACTGGGGCTATGCTCAAGGTGCCTCGGGGGTCTATGCAGGGCCCTATAATTTCAACCAATATAGATAGGATCACAAGCTGTCCCTCAGCCCAGCACATAACCATCCCCTTTCACCAAGACACCCCTAGACAAATGTCAGCCAATCAGGGCTCCTGACCCTTAGAAATCCCCTACCCTAACCTTGGCTATGATTAAAAAACAAAACAAAAAACAAAAACAAAACCATCCCAGCTGAGCTCAAGACTCTCATGCCAATGCATTTGACACACACAGAAAGTATCTAGCTTGAATAAAGGCTCTTGCTTTTATATACAGTATACAGTCTCCTTGTTGGATTTTGGGGCTCTCCAAGATATGGGCATAGTAGGTGTGTGGTGTGATGGTACTATTGATCTGATCCATCCCAGGGCCTCATGCATACTAAGCAAATACTCTCTCACTGAGCTATATGTATGCCCAGCTTGAGTATCTTTCCATGGACTGATTAGCCATTTCAGTTTGGGTGAGGTAGGGGTTGAGGCAGGCTGGCCTCAAACCCTCTCTCTGTGTAACTAAGGCTGGCCTTGAGCAGATTCGCCTGACTCCACCTTCCGAATACTGGGATTATAGTCACATTTTTACATTCTTACCTAAGAACACTTTACCAGTTTTTTATTGTTGATTTTTGTTTTTGTTTGGATTTTTGAGATAGAGTTTCTGTGTGTAGCCTTGGCTTTCCTGCAACTCACTTTGTAGACCAGGCTGGTCTTGAACTCACAGATATATTCCTGCCTCTGCCTCCATAGTGCTGGGATTAAAGGCGTGCACCACCACCCCGTGAGCTATCTCTCTTCTTTGATAACAAGTTTATTTAGACTTTTCCCCATTTTAAGTATCAGGTTGGTATTTATTTATTGGGTGGTGGCTATTGAACATAGAGCCTCCTTCTGCATATACCCTGCAATGGTGATTTTTAAGAATTTTATTTATTTTTATTTTATGTGCATTGGTGTCTTACCTGCATACATGTCTATGTGAGGGTGTCAGATATTGGAGTTACAGACAATTGTGAGCTGCCATGTGGTTACTGGGAATTGAACCCGGTTTCTCTGGAAGAGCAGTCAGTGCTCTTAGGCACTGAGCCATCTCTCTAGCTCCATGATTTTTTAAAACTGAATTACTAGAATTCTTTTTTACATTCTAGAAACAAATCCTTTATTAAATGTATAATTTGAAAATGTTTCTTCATACTCATTACTTTGTCCTTCCACTTTGCTGTTTTTGCCTTGTTTGGTTTTTGTTTTGGAGACTCATGTAACCCAGACTGGCCTCACTTGTTGTGCAGCCCAAGAGACTGGCTTTGAATTCCTGGTCTTCCCACTTCTCCCCACCAAGTGCTGGGATTACATGTATGACCCACAGTGCCTGGCACAGGGGGGAGGAGCAAGGGCACCCATCAGAGTCTTAAATGGTGTAGCCTAACACAAGCTGGTCTTGAACTTGATTTCCAGTTCTCTTGTCTAGGTCTTGTAAATGCTGGGACTGCTTGCATTGCACCACCATGCCCAGCCTTCCCATTTCTTAGTGTATTCCTTTACCAAGCAAAACAATTTTAAGGATAATACTTTTTGCATTCATATCTAAGAACACTTTGCCTGATCCAAGGTTACAAATATTTACCTGTTATGCTTTCTTCTTCTTTTATTCATTTTGATTTTTGAGGCAGGGTTTATATGTGTATCCCTGGCTATCCTGGAACTCACTCTATGGACCAGGCTGGCCTCAGACTCACAGAGATTTCTCTGCCTCTGCTTCCCGAGTGCTGGGATTAATGGTATGTGCTACCACATCCAGAGTTCTGCTTTCTTCTTAAAGGTTTATAATTTTAGCTGTTTTTAAATATGTTCCTTATTGCTGGAGTTTTTTTTGTCCTGCCAGGTCCTGCTGCCACTTAGCACCAAATAAGCACACAGACGCTATGTTAATTATAAAACTGCTGGCCGATTACTAGGCTTCTTACTGGCTAGCTCTGTCTTAATTATTAACCCATTTCTATTAATCTAAGTATTTCCACATTGTCTTTGCTTACTGGAGAATGCCTGGACCTATTACTCCTTTGGTGGCTACATGGCATCTCTTGTTGCACCTCTCTGCACCTCCTTGTCTCCTAGCTCCATCTACCTTCCTGCCACTATTGGCCAGTGTTTTATTCATCAACCAATAAGAGAA